GCGATTAAAAGCCAGCAGTCCAGGATTGTGAGAGGGATGTCCGACTGCTGGTTTAGGCCCGATGCACCGAGGGGTCCTGGATTGGAGAGGGTGCAGGCTGGGCTGAGGGGACCTCCCCCCCCCCCCCCGCACGAATTTCGTGCACCAGGCTTCTAGTCCTTAATAACCAACTGAAGACTAGCTGGAGAGAACCCAGATAAAGAAGGGCAGAATGTGGAGACCGCATAGAGACTGGTAGGAAGTGCGAAGGCGGGACTCCCGCAGACAGCAGCTGAGGTTCTGGAGGGATATCTCAGCTGTGGGGGTCCCCACTGTGAACTCTGGGGTCTAAACACCAAGCTGGGCTCCCCAGCCCAGAGTGCCAATACTAAGAAAGGTGTCCATATAACATCTGGTTGTGAAAAGCAACGGGGTTGCTGTCTGCCAGGGAGAGACAGCTGGATATACAGCCACCCTCTTAGAGGGCGAATGTGTAAAATCTATCAATTCAATGCAACCCCAATTAAAATACCAATGGCATATGTCACAGATCCAGAACAAATACTCCAAAAATGTATATGGAACAAAAAAAGACACCGAGTAGCCGCAGGCAGCAATCTTGAGAAAGAAGAACGAAGTTGGAAGGATCACAATACCAGATATCAAGTTATACTACAAAGCCACTATAATCAAAACAGCCTGGTACTGGCACAAGAACAGACATATAGAGCAATGGAACGGAACAAACCCCAGAAATCAACCCAAGCCATTATGCTCAATTAATATTTACCAAAGGAGGCAAGAGCATACAATGGAGTAAAGATAGTCTCTACCATAAATGGTATGGGGAAAATTTGACACATGCAAAAAAATGAAACTAGACCACTAACTTATACCATACACACGAATAAACTCAAAATGGATAAAAAAGACTTAAATGTAAGTCATGAAACCATAAAAATCCTATGAGAAACCACAGGCAGCAAAATCTCAGACATCTCTCATAGCAATACATTTACAGATACATCTCCTAGGGCAGTGGTCGGCAAACTGCGCCTTGCGAGCCACATGCGGCTCTTTGGCCCCTTGAGTGTGGCTCTTCCACAAAATACCATGTGCGGGCGCGCACGTACAGTGCGATTGAAACTTCGTGGCCCATGCGCAGAAGTCAGTGTTCGGCCTAGGCGAGTCTATTTTGAAGAAGTGGCGTTAGAAGAAGTGGGGATACGTTCGCTGAGGTCGACCCCTCAGATTGAGGACGTTTTTAGCAAAGGCCAGCTTAGGAGTACTATAATTAAGTTAATAACAATGTACCTACCTATATAGTTTAAGTTTAAAAAATTTGGCTCTCAAAAGAAATTTCAATCGTTGTACTGTTGATATTTGGCTCTGTTGACTCATGAGTTTGCCGACCACTGTCCTAGGGCAAGGGAAACTAAGGAAAAAATAAACAAATGGGACTATATAAAAATAAAAAGTTTCTGAATAGCAAAAGAAACCATCAACAAAATGAAATGGAAGCCCACTGTATGGAAGAACATACTTGCCAATGATACATCTGATAAAGGGTATATCCAAAATATATAAGGAACTCATACAAGTTAACAAAAGGAAGATAAACAACCCAATTAAAAAAATAAGCAAAGAACCTAAATAGATACTTCTCCAAAATGGACATACTGATGGCCAAGAGACATATGAAAAAATGCCCAAAGTCACTGATTATCAGAGAGATACAAAGTACAACGACAATGAGGTATCACCTCACACCTGTCAGAATAGCTATCATCAACAAATCAACAAATGACAAGTGCTGGCAAGGATGTAGAGAAAAGGGAACCCTAGTACACTGCTGGTGGGAATGCAAACTGGCGCAATCATTATGGAAAACAGTATGGAGTTTCCTCAAAAAATTAAATATGGAACTGCCATTTGACGCAGTGATCCCACTTCTAAGAAAGCAGAAACACTGATCAGAAAGAATGTATGCACCCCTATGTTCATAGCAGCACAATTTACAATAGCCAAGATTTGAAAACAGCCCAAGTGCTCATCAATATATGAGTGGATAAAAAAGCTGGAGTACATTTATACCATAAAATACTATGCAGCAGCAAAGAAGGATTTCTTACCCTTTGAGATAGTAGGGAGGGACCTGGAGAGTATTATGCTAAACAAAATAAGCCAATCAGAGAAAGAAAAGTATCTCATGATATCATTCATATAGGTAACCTAATGAACAAAATAAACTGTTGAACAAAATAAATCCTGAGATTGTCAAATATCACAGGGAAGGTGGGGGTGGAGTGGGAAGAGATCAACCAAAGAACCTGTATCATATATGTGTAGCCCATGGACACATACAATAGGGTGGTGGAGGCCTGGGGCGGGTGCAGACTGTAAGGCAGGGGTCCTCAAACTACGGCTCGCGGGCCACATGCAAATACAAATATTGTATTTGTTCCTTTTTTAAAAAAAAAAAAATATTTTATTGATTTTTTACAGAGAGGAAGGGAGAGGGATAGAGAGTTAGAAACATCGATGAGAGAGAAACATCGATCAGCCGCCTCCTGCACACTCCCCACTGGGGATGTGCCCGCAACCAAGGCACATGCCCTTGACCGGAATCGAACCCGGGACCCTTCAGTCGGCAGGCTGACGCTCTATCCACTGAGCCAAACCAGTTAAGGCCTGTTTTGTTTTTTTACTTCAAAATAAGATATGTGCAGTGTGCATAGGAATTTGTTCATAGTTTTTTTTAAAACTATAGTCCGGCCCTCCAACGGTCTGAGGGACAGTGAACTGGCCCCCCGTTTAAAAAGTTTGAGGACTCCTGCTGTAAGGGATCAATAGGAGAAAAAAGGGAATATATGTAATACTTTCAACAATAAGGATTTATAAAGTAAAGTAAAATAAAAGGCTCACATTTAAACAATAACCAATGTTCTATTTTCCTCAGAATAAAAATATCACCAGCCCTAACTGGTTTGGCTCAGTGGATGGAGCGTCGGCCTGCGGACTGAAAGGTCCCAGGTTCGATTCCGGTCAAGGGCATATACCTTGGTTGTGGGCACATCCCCAGTGGGAGGTGTGCAGGAGGCAGCTGATCGATGTTTCTTTCTCATCGATGTTTCTAACTCTCTATCTCTCTCCCTTCCTCTCTGTAAAAAATCAATAAAATAAATAAAAAAATATATATCACCAAATTTTTAATTAAATACTTCACTGAATATATGCTTCAAGATATTTAAAGTATTTTTTTTTTTAAAAAAACATATAGAGTGCTCACTTCGACAGCACACATACTAAAATTGGAATGATACAGAGATTAGCATGACATGGCCCCTGTACAAGGATGACATGCAAATTTGTGAAGTATATATTTTAAATCATGGGAATGCAATGTACAGCACAGGGAATATAGTCAATAGTATCATAGTAATTAAGTATAGTGACAGATTGTTATTAAACTTGTAGAGATCACTTTTGTAAGTCATACAAATGTCTGATTACTATGTTGCACACCTGAAACTAATATAATATTGTATGTAAATTTAAAAATAAATAATAAAGAGAGACAGATTTCTTGGTAAAAACTTTTTTCCCCAAGGCTAAGTTTTCCCCTAAATTTAAAATTTTCTGGAATAGAGAAATAGGATAGTCCTTTGGGGGAAATGTCGTTTTGATTAAAAATAAAAATGAAAACATAAAAATACCCAAATGCATAATGAGTAAGGGCAACAGAGAAAATTTTGAGAAAGAAGGGGAAGAAAATTAATTTTAAGACTAATGTAGGTTAAGAAGCTGGAAATAGGTAATAAAAAACTGAAAAGTTGAACAAAGTAAAAGATGAGAAAGGGAAACCTAGATATACCTAAGTTAGCTTATAAAGTAAATGTTTCCTTTACAAAGACAGCATTTTGTCTCTTCCCATGAACCTTAATCTTTTCACCCATGTCTTGTATGACTACCTGATATTGACCTTTAACCTCATTCTCACCTCATAGAGTATTTTAGGATTGTTCTGTCAGCTCATATGGACCATAACTTAAAGAAACATAGACTAAAAAATCAAACTCTGGAACAATCCATAACTGTCAGCATGTCATTTAACTCTAGACTTGATTTTCTCATCAATTTTAAATGTCGATAATACAGGCCACAAGAGGACTGTGAGTACAAAATGAGAAACATACCACAAACATACCTAGTACAGCATCTGGAACAGAGTGTGTAGTCTATAAATGTCAAAAATCACTTAAATTCTCTTATCTGAATGGCTATCCCTTCTGTTACTATAAATATCTGTGTACTTTTATGTTTTTCAAAACTTTAATCATGTGTCACCTGTTAAATGATCAGAAGCTTCTACCTTAATAACTTAAAAATAACTTGTAGGGTTTGCAAAATAAGTACATTTCCTCTTTAAGGTCTCATTCAACGCTCTTCTTGACTGGAAGCCACACAATCTGTGATCTGAGGCCCTAAGTATTACCTGACTAACCCTCAGGCAAATGTGTATTAGATAGTTTTTTGGTTCTTTGTTTTTAACTTAAATAATCTGGACAACACATATATTAAACAAAACAAAAAACTCTCAATGAAGCCTACTACTTCAAATTCTCCTCAATCACTCATCTGAATATGAACTTATTTGGGGGATTTAGAACCTTGAGGATTTAGGATATGCAGAATCTTACCAAATATTTAATCTGTAAAAAGGATCATCACTGAGGAAAAGTTCAGATACCTGTGATTTTCAAACTATACTCTTCAGAGATACCTTGGGGGAGAGGAGGTTGAACCTCAAAAGTTGTTAAAGGGGAGGGAGAAGAGAAGGAAGGAGCAGGTGACTGAGCTAAGGCTCTATCTAGTCTTCCACATATCCTATCCTACACTACACCTCCACCCGTGTCTTGCAAATACAGGATGTCTTATTTATTTATTTTTTAAAATATATTTTATTGATTTTTTTTTTTTTAACAGAGAGGAAGGGAGAGGGATAGAGAGTTAGAAACATCAGTGAGAGAGAAACATCCATCAGCTGCCTCCTGCACACTGCCTACTGGGGATATGTCCACAACCAAGGTACATCACCTTGACTGGAATTGAACCTGGGACCCTTCAGTCTGCAGGCCGACACTCTATCCACTGAGCCAAACCGGTCAGGGCCAAGATGTCTTATTTTAATACAAAGAATCTATATTAGACTTACTTGAAGAAAGAGTTTAATGGTTTTAAAAAGTCTGAAAAACCCCTGATCTTGACCAATGATTTTCTACAAAATCCACATGACACCAATCAGGTCACCTTTATTTGCATAAAGTGTAAAATTTGCACATATTTAGCATTTTATATAGAATGCTTTCAAGATTATTATTGCTGTCATCAATACTGTAATTTCTCTCTTTTCTTCTATATTTTTCCCAACTATTGCACTATAATTGACCAAAATAAGGAGGATTAATATGGAAGGCAAAATAATATGATCTGGCTTTAAAGTAAAGATAGAAAGACTACAATAATTATAAAGTCAAAGAATTCCTACATATAAATAGAACTGTGTCAGAAAAATGATGAGACTGAGACTCTTTAAAACAATTTAGCTCTGTAAATACTAATTCGTAATCACACCAAAATCTGAATGATTACTCTGGCATTTAAATGTCCAAGATATTAGAGTATAAATTTACACAGTATTTTTTTAGCAGTTGAAATATGTGAAAAAAAAAAAAAAGACAAGGCTAAAGGACTCAAGAGTTAACAGTAATACAATTAAATGTTCCAATTTCATTTGGAATTTAAGTCAGTAAATCACTAATCATATGGCTTTTTGGTTTATCTTAAAAATATATGTGTCTCTTCAATGCAAGTAAGACCAAATGTAAGAAAACAAAACAAAAACCTTAGCATTGTTACAGAATGAGGGAGATAGATCAACATGGATTGTTCCATGAAAACAGATAAATACGTATACACGCCTCCAACTAGAGATATATTTAAAATTATCGGCATAAATGCATTATAGAAAATTATAACAGTATGAGAAAAGATATTATAAAATCAAGAAAAGAGAATGGAGTGGATATTAAAATTTATTCTTCAACTCCACCTTAGAGTTTGATAGCACTGATTGAGCAAACAACAAAAAGAAAAGTCAGATATCATCATCTAATAAAATTATTATAGTTAATAGATATAGATTTAGTTAATTTCTTTAAGTAAGAAAATACTTTAAAATGAAAAAGTTAATTTAATATTAAAAACATCTCTAACAAAATATTCAATCCTCAAACTTGTCAGAATGCATTTTTCCTGATCAATTCACTTAGCTTAAGATAAATACCTCTCACTGGCTATTCCAATGATTCAGTTTGCTCAGGTATCAAATTCAAGGTCACTACATTTGGAACAAATGTCATGACGAATCTTTTGCCTGCAGTTGGTAATAACAATATTCAATTTTTATCTAAATTTCTAGGCACAACTTATTAAACTAGATGTGAGATGGGAAAATGCTGGAGAAATCTTTGTTACTTTAATGGCACATATCAAAACAGCACTGAATAAGAGAGGAAAATCTGGAGCTTTATAAAAATAGTCTGTGTAAAATAGATGTTCAACTCAAGAAAATCAAATGTGCAAGATATTGTTTCTTCCAACCTTTTGCTATAAATACTAGGTTAGGATAACGCATCATAAGACATTGAAATTCAGTTGTAAAAATTTCCTTGCTTTCTATCCAATTTAAATTTAGATAAAAACTATCATGAAATATATACATCCTAAATCAAGCATGATTTTGAGCTGGCATGACCTGATATTCATAGAGCCTACCTCTGCCTACAAGTCAAAACTTGATTATCGAGAACTATTATCTGGAAATGTTTGCTTGAATCTTTTAACACCTAAAAGAAGATCACTGCTATACTGATTTCAATATCTATATAATAAAAGCCTAAATGACCATTACAGCAGAACGAACAGAACGACTGGTCACTATGATGTGCACTGACCTCCAGGGAGCAGACACTCAATGCAGGAGCTGACCCCTTTTGGTCAGTGCATTCCCATAGCACCACTCATGAAGCCAGGCTCATGGTTGGTGAGCGCAGCGGTGGTGGTGGGCAGTGGGACTAAGATATCAGTTGGACATCTCCGGAGGGGTCCCAGACTGCGAGAGGGCACAGGCTGGGCTGAGGGACACCCCCACCCCCCCGTGCTCGAATTCTGTGCACCGGGCCTCTAGTTTAATATAAAAGTGTATGCCCGTGCCCGGCTGGTATGGCTCAGTGGCTGAGTGTTGACCCGGGCACATGCCCAGGTTGTGGGGCTTGATCCCCACGGGGCTGGGGGGGGGGGGTGAGGGTGTGCAGGAGGCAGCTGCTCGATGATTCTCTCTCATCATTGATGTGTCTATTTCTCTATCTCTCTTCCTCTCTAAAAATCAATAAAATATATATAGTTAAAAAACTTTTTTAAAAAGTGTATGTATGCAACATTTAGGGATCCTATCACTAAATAAGAGAGCATTTCCTTGCTATTTAAAATAAATCCAATGAATGTATCAGTAATCTTGAGTGTGGCTTATTTTCTGTTGTATTGCCTTTATTATTTAGTAATATCTAATACCCAAGGTGGTAGAGAGCTAATAAGACAAAATTGGGTAGCCAACTAACTAAAATGTGTGTTGTCTTACTTCAAGTGTGTCAGTTCTTTTTTTTTTTAGTTTGAGAGGGAGAAAAGGAGGGAGAGGGAGAGAGGGAGAGGGGAGAGGGAAGAGGGGCAAGGGGAGGGGGGAGGGAGAGGGAGAGAGAGACATCAATGTGAGAAACATCGGCTGGTTAACTCCCATACATGCCCCAATAGGGGATCGAACCTGCAACTTGGGTATGTGCCCTGACCAGAAATCAAACCTGCAACCTATGGGACGATGCTCCAACTAACTGGGCCCAGTTCATATTTTTAAAAGCCTGAATGACTTCTACTCCCTTCACAAATATACAGCATTCACAACCAAATCAGTACATAAGAGAAATACAATACTTAAACAATCTTACCCTCACCCTAGCTAAATCCACTGGTTTAGCTCAGTGGATAGAGCGTCAGACTGCAGACTGGAGGGTCTGGGTTCGATACCAGTCAAGGGCACATGCTCGGGTTGTGGGCTTGATCCCAGTAGGGGCTTGCAGGAGGCAGCGGATCAATGATTCTTTCTCATCATTGGTGTTTCTCTCTCTCTCTCCCTTCCTCTCTGAGATCAATAAAAATATATTTTAAAAAAATCTTACCCTCAATTTTTAAAAACTACCTAACTTGCCCGGCCGGCATGGCTGTGGGTGAGGCTTGACCTATGAACCAGGAGGTCACGATTCGATTCCCAGTCAGGG